TAGTGCATCAGTGTCAGAAGAGGAAGAGAGAGAAGGAAAAGGGAGGAAGAAGAAGAAAATCATTATTCAATAGCTGAAAAAATAATTATAAATGAGGTTTTTAGGTCCTTAGAATAATTTTACATTCCATTAAGCCTTATCTATAAATTTCTTGCTCCCGAGGGCCCTAAATGTAATTCTTCCGTAAAAGTTTTATAGTAAATACTTATTAAAATATATGATTCTGTTTATTAAAAAAATGACAGTTTCTTTAACAAAACGGAGAGGGTGGCTAGCTTCAACAGACACCTCACCTCTTCATTTTGCCTTTTGAGTCGAGGATAAAGATATACTACTCCAATCCTTTAATATAAAATGGAGTTAACAAATTTACTAGCTATTATTAAAAAATATTAGTTATGATCTTAAAAATGTAAAAGAATTTATAACCTTCCAATTTTATCATTTTTTAATTAATGACCATAATAAATTTTTGTTCAAAAATTCAAATGATAATAAATAAATAAGGAGTAAAATTTTAAAAAAACATTCATTACTCTAACTTTATCTTATATTTAAAATGTAAAAAAATTTCACTAAGAGGAATAATCCTAAAAGATTCAATCAAATGTGATCTTGCATGGATTCATCCATTAATTGAAGTGAGCGAAGATTCAACATTTGTTAATGCTAGAAAGCAAATCTGGCTTCAGTGTATAGATACATGAGTTAATAAAGGGGTCTTGAGTTTTATGGCTGGGAAGTCAAACTTAGAAAGCAAGAATAAGACTAAAGTGCTTTGTGAAATGGTCGGCGGTCCCCCCCCCCCCCCAAGCCCCCATAAAAGGAACTCATTAAATAATAGCAGTACGTGTTTCCATTTATGTATTAAGCACAGTCCACTTATCAACTTCTCCTACGTATCCTACTTCATAATTAATTAATCTCGGTCACTCATTTAACTCTAATTTTATCAGTGACATACATTACAGGTTAATTGTGTTGTTTTTTTTTACATTTTTTATATAAATAAAGGGTTAATATGTAATTTAAATCCTAAACTATAAATCTAGAGGTGATTTAAATCATAAATTATTAAAAAATATATTTTAAATTCTAAACAATTAAAATTGAGACAATTTAACCTTTACTGTGAAATTCAAACAAATGTTTGTTAAAATGGAGCTTATTGTTTGATTTTTACCAAATGAGAGTATGAAAAAAATGGAGAGTCAAATTTAATGAAAATTATACATTAGGTCTTAATTTTAAAAAAAAAAACTAAAGGGCATTTGTCTAAATTTAATGGTGGGGTAAAATTACCTTAACTTTAATTATTTAAAATTTTTTTATCAATAATTATTTGAGGTTTAGAATATATATTTTAAAAGTTTAAAATTTAAATTGCCTTGAATCTATAATTTAAGATTTAAATTGCATTCTTAATCCTTAAAAAAAAAAATTCTGATGTATGGATGGTATATATACTAGAACTATCCAGAAAGGGTCAACGTTTTGATTAATTTCAATTATTATGTAGTGTAATTAAAAACGGAGGAAGTAATTAATTATCTGCATATATGCATACATAAATGGATATGATTAGCTTGGTAGTACTTTGATTTTTTTTTTTTAAGCGTGTGAGGTCAAAGATATAACCACCGTACCTAATTATTGTGAGGTTCTTTACTTCTTTTATTATCCGTAGTTAAGAATGATGATGACTGCATGATGAAAAGCATTGGGATTTGGGACTAACGAATTAATCACGTCATCAAATGGCATAGAATCCTCTCCCACTAGAAATTAAAACAAATAACATAATTATATGGATCATGTTTTGGCAATAAGGCTTAGCTTCGTCCCCTCTGGAATTTTGACTTAACGTAAATGCGCGTCCGAGCCACCTTAATTAATCATTTCATTCCTCCATAAGCATCCTCTTAAATTTATGGGAAGGAAAAAAGATAGATAGAAAAGATATTTCATACCTGTTTTTGTTGCTCCCACACTATTATTTCTTGCATTCTTCTTTTTTTCTTATCTCTAAATAGGTAGCAATTTCACTATGCCTCGTACGTCTATGCCCAAAGTTTTGTATCAATGCAAACTTTTTAAGGTAAAAGGGCAAAATATTTAAATTTTTTTTTAGGGACGTCTGACATTTTTAATTTTTTAACATATTTTTACTTTAAGAATTTTAAAAACAGAACATTTTTAGCAGACATTGATGGTTTAACTGAAATTTGACTGATGATGAGCCTGCTTGGATAGCATTTTAATTGATTACTTGAAGTAAAAAATTGGTTTTTGTCAAAACTATCTAAACACCAATTTGTTGAGAAAATTAATTTTTGTCAAAAAATTAATTTTTTTTTCAAAGCTCTTAGACTCAGCTTTTGTGTTCAAATTATCTAACAAATATGAAAAAAAATTACAAAAAAGGCCCAAAAAATTATAAAAAAGGCACAAAATTTAATAAAATTAAAAAATTATGATAATTTATACAGCTATACAGTTAAAATTGATTCTAAATAAATTATCTAAATATTTTCAATTCTATTAAAATTAATTTTAAAAAAACAGTATCCAAACAAATTGTTTACGTTATAACATAATCAATTATAATTAAAATCTGTCATTTAATCAATTATTTTTATAATTTATTATACTCAACTAAAATCCAAACAGGAATGATATTTTATAATTTTTTCCCTCTTTCTCTCTATATTTAGTCTTTGATTTTATTTTTCAGTGAATTTTTTAACTTTTCTTCTCCCAATAAATGAAAACGAAATATAAAAAATGTAAAAAATGGAGGGAAAAATTATAAAATATTATGGTCAAACTTGAATTAACAGTTAATATTGCGATTTTTAACGGTATGGTGAAGATGTTCTGTTTTTAAAACTTTCGAGACAAAAATGTTAAAAAAAAAAGGTTTAAAATGCTTGACGCCCTGGAGAAAAATGGTCAGAATATTTTTGCCATTTAACTTAACATTTTAAAAAGACACATTTAAAATTGCTTAAATTAATTGAAAACCGATATTTTATACTTGCTTAAATTGCTTACGCTTCTTTTAACAAGATCTTTTTCGTACACATGGCTATGAATCGAATTCCAGACAACATGTTTAAAAGATTTGAGTAGTGTCAACCATGTTGAACCTTGTTGGGGCAGATTCTTACTATTTAATCAAACATCATGTTGCTCTTTCCACTAACAAGATAACTTCTTGTGAAAAGCTAAGAAAAAGGCCAAAAAATTAGACAATAGGGAATGGGCGGTTGCATTTCAGAGATTAAAAGGAGGCATTATTTTTTCCTTCAAAAAAAGACACTTCCAAGTATAAAATAGTTATAAAAAGAATAAATATAAAAAGAAGAAATATACAATCTGGAAATAACTGGAGAACATACAATGACTATGGCTAAATAGAAATTTCAATTAAAAAATATTTATAGGATATAAATGAGCATTACTTTGGTGGCGCATGCGTGGAGGAAAAGTGAGCAAGAACACGAGTAAGAAATAATTGACACCATATCCCTTAGATAATATATAACATTAAGCTCCTGTTTGATTATTAGAAAGGTATGGAATAAAATAAATTAAAAAATTAATATAAAAATAAATTAAATCACCTTTTCTCTTTACAGTAAATATGATAAAACTCAATATATATTATAAACGTAGAAATTATCACACCTTTTAAAAATTATATGAATTATGATTCTTAACTCTATGAATTAAATTACTCTTTTTCTTTATAAATTTGATTCACTATTTCTTTTAATCATCCTATTTTTTATCTTTATTTATTCATTAATAATCAAAGGGACCTAAGATATAGAGAACTAATAATTGGGTGTCTTCCTAATTAATTATTAATGAAATGAACATAGGGATAAATTAAAGAACGAACGGACCTCATATAATATGTTGCTCCAAGTTGTAGGACAGTACTGAAATGTAGAGCATGATATGAATTAATATAAATGATGAAAAAATGTAATAAAAAATAATGTGAGAGTATCGAATAAACTAAAGGAGGAATAGTAGGGCATCATAATACCACACATACAGAGAAAGAAAAGAATATTAAGTTGGGAGCGACTGTTGAGTTTGGATATTGATATGAAATTGGGAGATGAGGACGTAATGGAAGAGAAGAGGCATATGTATAACGTAAGAAAGCAGGAGAAGACAAGTCGTCACAAAGTGTGTTGTTAAAAACTTAAAATCGGTGACAAGAAACCCTTAGCCATTCTCACATATCGTCTCCTTTTCTTTTCTTTCTTTATTTTTAATTATTTACATATGTTTTTTTTTATTGAAAGCAATTTTATCTGAAATATAGTTGGACACAAAATATAAGTATATTTTTTAATAAAAATTCAAATATGAATTCGTTATATTATAACATATTAGATTTTTTAATAAACTTTACTCTTGTTAGTCATATGTTGTCTCCTCACATGTCACCTTTCACGCATTGTTTATCTTACTCATTTCTTAACTACTACTCACATAATGCCACCTATGGTCCGAAAAATTCAGTTATTGTCATGATGAGAAGTTTATCCAAAAGTAACACAACCAAGTCTGAGTCTGAATTTCTTTAACCACCAGCTTTTGAATTTGATTCCTAGGACAATGAAAATCGAAAAAATATCTTTGAAAGAGTCACCAATTTTGGGATCGCATGGTGCTCAAATTTGTATCAGTAGAGGTCGTTGACTTTGGGTATCAAATGTTTACATGCAAAAAGAGAATTGGACAGAAGAGAATAGTAGTACTTCTACAGCCCTCCCGACCAAGCAGCGTTTGTAGTCCAACGGTTAGGATAATTGCCTTCCAAGCAATAGACCCGGGTTCGACTCCCGGCAAACGCAACTAGTTTTTTTTTTAAATTGTTTTAGATTTCTTCAATTCATGAACGAAAAATAATTTTGCCCGCTGAAGACATGGTTCATAAGATAACAGGATAGGGCCAATGAATCAGATTGAGCGTGGAGGAGAGTTTAGGGTTGGGGATTTAGATAGAGATTCTGGTCTTTCTGACCAGACAACAAATCGACGCTAAATACTGTTAACATAACACGTACGATTGTGGAGGAGATTCTAGATTACGTGAGAAAAGAAATGGAAAAAAAATTAAATAAATTGAAGTATTCTTTCTAGGCATGAGCTTTAAGTTTCGGAAAGTGACGACGATTGGATGTGTGGCTTATATTTAGTCCCCATGTAGAAATATCTGATCACTATCAACCAAATCGCCATTACTAGTTTCTCGTTACTCGTACATGCAAGATGGAGTGGTGCTCCACCAGTCTGTCATCGCCTTCGTCGTCCTCCCTTCTCAATCTTCGGGTAAATTTTCAGTTTCATGTTCAATCCTTCATCTATCTCTGAACCTCCGAGATAATTCATCTGACAGTGCATGGTAACTAAAAAAAAAAAAAAACACGAAACAAGCGAAGAGCACAAACGAGAATTGTTAAAGTTGAAGAAAGAAGCTCGTTAAAAAGTTTCACTCTTCCATTTTGGGATAACTGGACTCAACTTGTTGTTAATCAGAAAGAATTACCTTTTCGAGTCATAGGGCGTGAAATGTTCATGGGCAGAATACCTCGAATATGGAATCGTCATTGAAGCAATCAAAACCGATGGGTCTGTTTATGATTGTCGTTATTTAACTGTTTTCCCCATTTTTTCTGTGATTTGTAGTTGTAATTTTCGAGGAAGTTTATTGGGTGACATGGACCGTTAAGCAATAACCTTTAAACTCTCTGGATTATGAAGGAACCTTGTAACTTCCATTAGTTACACGAGAAATGGTTGTAATCCCCTAATAAAGAATTTCTTGAACTCCTATAATCGCCATTCGGAATTAATTTCAATGTCTAGCCTAAATAGGCATCACCTCATCGTGTTGAGACATCAAGCAAGAACAAGAAATCTCTTTCTCGAATTGAGCGTTCTGTCAGGCGCAAAAAACAAAAATTGAGTGCAATAGGAAATCTCTTTTAGCTTCCGAGCCATTGGGATTTTCTTTTTACCCTTAACTGATTCGAAATTTTCATCTTGTGTTAATGGGTGCAATAGCCACGTGTAATTGGATCCAAAATTAATCCGTGGTGCTTCTTGTGTGGGAGCATATTTATCTATGCATGCCATTTTAGTTTCCACTTTTACCGAAATTTCATCTTGGTGCAGGGCTCTGCATTATCCAGAAGAAAGTTCTGCAAGAAATTTTCACATCCTTGTTTGTCATCACCCACACTTCCTAAACCTTTTCTTCAAGTTCATCATAAATCCCAGACCTTGATTGATCAACAAACTTCAGCCTATCTCTCTTCCAGAGCATATAGAGCAACCATATTTGCTGAGACTGCAAAACAAGGTTGGGATTTTGGAAGATTCGTAAAAACATTATACTTTTTCAATGGACCCCCTTCTCCTGCTAAGGTTTGGCACCATTTTTGTGCAATTCTGGACTAGTTTGAGTTTAAAAAAATGTGTCAAAGATCAACTAATGAGTATTAATCATTTCTGAATTGTGAAGTTTTTTGACTTTCTAGTTGAGAAGCTATCGGGTCCTTCCCCAAGTAAACCGGTTAAATCTATGGAGACTTCTGACATTGTCCTGGTAGCTGGAGCTACTGGTGGTGTTGGTCGACGGGTGGTTGACATATTACGGAAGAAGGAATTCCTGTTCGAGTGCTGGTATTGCTGTTTGCTTTCTAACAAGTTTTTGCTCCAAGTAACTAGATAAAGTGCTTAGTGCTTAGTGTTTAAGAAGAAAATAAAGGGAAAAAAATTACAAGAATTATAATATACCACGGTAATAGTTCAATGCACAATGTAAGTCTCTGAATTCTGTATGATAATTTCTTAGGTTCGAAATGAAGAGAAGGCGAGAAGGATGTTAGGCTCAGACATTGACTTGGTGAGTTTCCTAACTGACTGCATTAGAAAACTTCCCTTATAAGATTTGTTTTCTAAAACTTGCTAGTTTGGCTTTCTGGTCCTCATTTAGTTGACTAAAATGTCAATGTGCCAAGTAATGACTGATCCAGCAATAATAGAAGCTTCTTGCAGGCTTGGGAATATGTTTTTATATAGGAAGAGATTATAACTTGATTCCAAGTTGTCTATCCTATCTTTCTTACATTTTTCATAGGAGATTTACCCAAGTTTCAAAACTTCTGATGGAAGATAATCATGTATAATTTTCAGTTTGTAGTTGGTTATGGTGTACTGTATCGATAATGATTTTTTCCCCTTTTTATGCTGTCAATTGACTGCCAAAAAAAAAAAAAATACAAAACCAAGATTGTTGGAGACATTACAAAAGAGGGCACCTTGGTTCCTGAGTACTTCAAAGGAGTGAAGAAAGTAATAAATGCTGTCTCTGTCATTGTTGGTCCCAAGGAAGGAGACACTCCAGATAGAGCAAAATACAGCCAAGTATGTTCTGTATCTTTATCAAGATTATAGAAATCTGATATTGCTTATACTTAATGCATAAAGCCACACTTATACATCGCAGACATTGCCAATGACGACTTTGATCAGCTTGTGGCTCTTCTCATTTGTAAAAGTTATATGCTTGTTTACAATACCTCACGATTTTTCTCCCTAATGGAATGAATTTGTCTTTAATGCAGGGAATTAAGTTCTTTGAGCCAGAGGTAGTGGAATGATTTGTCTTCCTCCCCATGCAATCTCTAGAGTGAAATTTTCGTTTTTTCTTCTTTCCTCCCTTCATATGCTAGTTTATGATATAAATTTTCAAACTTTTGGTTCTTAGTCAATGATTTTTGAAAGCAGATCAAAGGTGATCCGCCAGAAATGGTGGAGTATGTGGGCATGAAAAATTTGATAAATGCTGTGAAGGAGAATGCTGGACTTCAAAGGGGAAAACTATTATTTGGCTTTGAAGGTAGATTTCTAGTTTTCTTTTTAACATTCATTGTGATTGATTATAAGTATTAACTGATTGATATAGTCTTTCAACGTACTTACAAAAGTCACTCCGAACACGTTCTTAAAGCATAGAGAAATGAACTGTGTAAAAGCTGAATGAGGGAACAGAGCACAATACTTTAGTTTACTTTATAGTTCACCAGATGAAGCAAATTGAAAGAAGGAACGAGGTTGATATGCCAATAGACTTTTGAGATAAGTTTGATTATTCAAGTAGTTGGATGACAATAACTCAACTATTGAATCGCTTATTAGCTTGCAACTAGTTGCAGTAGTCTCCTGAAGTAAAATAATTTATAATTCAGAAGACTGTCTCTATCGTTGGGTGGTTCTGTGCTTGCAACATGCTGTACTGCATAAATGCATCTAATTACTATATGGTGGAGGAAATAAAACTCATTAGACATTGGTTACTCATATGCATCATTGATTAATTATTTTTTTATTCTTTTTATCTTTCATTTGGTACTTTGCTTATCAGGCGATAATTATAGGCAGCTATCTTGGGGTGCTCTAGATGATGTTGTAATGGGTGGAGTTAGTGAAAGCAATTTTCAAATTGACCCAAGTGGCAGTGAAGATGGTGGACCAACTGGGGTTTTCAAAGGTTTGTGCCAACTTCTTGCATGTGCATCTTGCACTGTATTTTTTTGGGAAGATGGTAATAGATCCTCTGTGTTTGGTTTCTCAAATTAATATAATTCTGTTTCTGGTGCAGGTGTTGTTTCAACAGAAAACAATGGTGGCTTTACTAGTATCAGAAACAAGGTGAAGTGCAAAACAAAACAAAACTAAAAAAAAAAACAAAGAAAGAAAAAGAAAAATTACTTTTAAATTCCCCCATGGCGGCATAGCCTTTGCTATCTGATTCTGAATCTGGACCATTTAGCTTTTCTTACACAATATCACGTTTTGAACTACTTTTTTTCTTTTTTAAAAAATAATATATCATACAAAATTATCCATAGCTTTTTTTTTTTTTTTTTTGCTTGTTAACTCAGCAGAATTTAAAGCTTGGACATTTATCCGTACACCACATCATCCTCACCGCTTAAGCTAACATTTTGAACTACTTTGTTCATATTTTCTTTAGAAAACTTATATATCATCTTTCAGAATCGATAAATTAACATTCTTGTTCCTATTCCTATATTCTCTTAATCAAAGACTGAGAGTTGAATCACAGTTCTGACTTCTTCCTAAACATATAAGCGGTTAATGTTACTAAAGTGTGCTTACTCAAATAATTAATTTTCAGAATTTCTCAGAACCTGAGAACCTCTCTGCATATGATGGTTTGGAGCTCCGTCTAAAGGTGATGGCCGTAGATATAAACTCATTGTTCGCACAAGCCGTGATTGGGACACTGTTGGTTACACTGTAGGCTTTGACACTGTGAAAGGCGAATGGCAATCGGTAAATAACATCTAGTGCTTTTTTTTACAGTTTATATTATCTAACTATGACTCATAAGGTTGTTTTTTTTTTCATAGATACGCTTGCCATTTTCTTCCCTCAGGCCTGTGTTTCGGGCAAGAACGGTCACAGATGCTCCACCATTTGATGCAAGCAACATCATATCATTGCAGGCATGCCTCTGCTGTTAGTATTTCTGTTTGTTCTCCAATTTAATGATTTGGCGTGATGGTTCTTAATATGATGGTGGCATGGTGCAAAACTCTCTGCAGCTCATGTTCAGCAAGTTTGAATATGATGGTAAATTAAATCCAACATTTAAGGAAGGTCCTTTTGAGCTTCCAGTGTCAAGTATACGAGCATATATGAAGGATCCAGTAACACCTAGGTACAACTTGATTTTTTGTTTTTCTATGCTTCTACTTTCTTTGATCTGTTAAGTCTATGATTTTACAATTTCTTGTGTCACATGTAGATTTGTACATGTGGGCTCAGCGGGAGTTACCAGACCTGAAAGGCCTGGACTTGATCTGACTAAACAGCCTCCTGCTGTTCGATTAAACGAGGAACTGGCCTTTATCCTCACATTTAAACTGAAGGTACAAAGTTGATCTTTGCATCCTGTTTAGTGAAAATAAATGATTAATTGTGGAGCCATCCATCTTAGCAGTTCAATTGTATGATTATGCTTGGTGTCTCTCACAGTTATAAAAAATATGAGCTTTGCTTGGCTTTTGGTCTGGAAAACTTTTGTTTGTCTTCAAAGATCAATTGCGATATAAAACTTGGAACAAGATTGGTCATCATATTACTGGTCATTAAAGTAGTGGTAAGGCTTTGAAAATACTTGTTTTCCCCTTTCAGTAAAAATGTTTATCCCTCATTTGGTTGCGTCTTCCTTAACTTTCATACTTTACAAATATGAGAATGAGATAATATACTTTCATCAGACTTAAGCTGAAGTAGGTGGTTATCACAATTGAGCGATAAGTTAAAATCATGAGAAATTAAAAGGATGAGATTTACAGTATGTTTCGAACTTTTAATAGTTTACAAAAATGTAAAATGTTCCAAATGTTCTCGGAATGTTGTTGCCTCTATCAATATTTGGGAGGACATGGCCTGTTCTTTTATTATTGTCTGGTATCAGACTAGCACTTGTTGTAACCTTGGTGTATTCCTCTTCCTTTACTGACAGTGTAAATTGTTAAAAATTTCAATAGGGGGAGGATTTAATTAGAGAGAGTGGCATACCCTATGCAATTGTGAGGCCTTGTGCATTGACTGAGGAACCTGCTGGAGCTGATCTGATATTTGACCAAGGAGATAATATAACGGTATTGTGAAAACAAAAGTTGGATGCCATTTACTAATTAGCTTCTATTGCTCTTGGTTATACAAATTTGTTACAAAAATTTTCCCACATATTTTGTTTCTGTAATTAATTACTAGCCTGATATTTTAGGTTACCTCACCTATTTTATTTCATGAACTTGATGCATAAAATTATAGGGCAAAATATCTAGGGAAGAGGTTGCTCGAATATGTGTTGCAGCCCTGGAAAGCCCTTTTGCATGCAACAAAACGTTTGAGGTCAGCCATCGTTACGCTCTTGATCTATTCCATAATGTATATTTATATCTACGCTTATTCCTTTTAAAATGCAGTGTGAACTTGTATCATTGTGCACTTTTGGGCTGGAGTTAAGTAAGTGCGGACAAAGTGGTATAGTACATTTTGTTTCCAAAGTAGGATTATAAACTCTTATGCTCTCGGAGGGTTATGCAACTATTTCATATTAGTATGACCTGTACTGGTGCCAGTGAACTCTAGTTTTATCTTCACTTCCTGGCCTTCTGTCCTTAGTGGATACTAAAATGAGTTGTGAAGTGCTTGTCGTTGTTCAGTTTTTCCCACTCTTGACGTGGATTTTATAAGATGATTGTGGAAGGATTTCAGGCATCACCATGGATGTTTCTATCTGCTGCAGGTTAAAAGTACTGTTCCATTTAGCGAGCCATTCACAGTGGATCCTGCAAATCCCCCTCCAGAAAAGGACTACAACGAATACTTCAAAAGTTTGAAAGAAGGCATCACTGGGAAGGAAGCCCTCCAACAGCAAAAAACTATTCCAGTTTAATTTTCCTGCTTGGCAGTCCACTGTATATTGCAGAGGTGAAATCAGTCATTCAGTCTACTGATTCAAAGCCGATCAAGTTTGACATAAATTTTACCATAGGACAAATGTCTTCATGTTCTTTTGTCCCAAACATGTCTGCGTATTTTCTGTTGTCTGTAAAGCAGACAAGAGCCAGAAAAATTACACTTAAGACATGCATGGAATCTAGTGCATCTTTGGACTATCTCAGGACAAACGTCAGTATGGATGTTGTTTCTTGGGAATTTTGTCGGATAATTACGACATTGATTTTGTTTCTGTTTTCTCGAATCTCTATGCTATTTTTCCTGGTCCGCATGCCGTATACTTAAGATTTTGTTTTCATATCATGTCGGTATCTGCCCTTATCATTACTAATACAACTTATGACAAATTGATTCGATCTACTCAATAATTCTATGATTTTTTTTTTTGTTTTGGTGAATTGTTATGAAATCCCTTTGGTTGTTGGAAAATCGGTTGCCTTTTGGTACCTCGAATTCTTAAATCCTCCAGTAATTCAACATCGCAACAATTTTTGCCCAAATTAAGGTCTCAAGTATCATGACAATCCAATGAATTTGATTATATATTGCAGATGGTAAATTTTTCTTCTCGCATAAATATGTTGGGATTACTTAATCCTGCATAATGCATACTAATCAAAGAACAGTGTCAATTATAGATTGTAAGTCATAAGCTTTTTCTACAAGTAAGTTGGAATACCAGTTCCCACTTTGAAGGACTTGGACATTTAATAATAGTTACCTTCCTGCACGTACTATCCTCGGATTCTGCTTCTTCAATCATCAATGCCTCTAAAGCTCAAATTCCAATCAAGATCTTGCCCTGTTTTCGAAGCCATTAATACAGAAAACATCAGTCAAGTGGTTCAAAGCTATACTTTCCCTTTTATTTAGGGGTCAGCATAGAGATCAAGAACAGAATCCATCCATGCTTGTGATGAACTTTAAGAAGATGCTTAGTTGATCCGTTCAGAACTAGAGGCTCGATGATCTGCTCTTTCTCCTACAAGATGCGAGAACAAGAAAACTTCCTTCCTTCTTCACATTCCCTGCGAAAAGAGGGAAGAAAGTTTGAAAACTGATTGTTCTATTCTATACCCATCTTCAGATAATTTTATAACACTTGCATCAGGTATGGATAGAAAGTGAAAGAAAAGTAGAACAAGCAAAATTGCTTTGAATGTAATGAATGTATTTATTTAAACAGGGGAAAATCTGTTTTCTTGTGTTTTAACTAGATTCTAAAACCACTGATTCCAGCAGTCCTGGGAAATCAATAGCAGCAGAATGCCTACAAGAGGATTGAGATAATATATGTCAGAGAGGAGAATCAAACTCTAACCACGAAACCAACATGAGAGGAATTTTCGCGCACCAGAACGGCCTCTGTTTTCTCTACGACCACCACCTCCAGTTGCATCTGCTATACTCTCCAATCTCTGAAGCATCTCTTTCTCCGAAAAGATCTTGCCTTGCGAGTTCAAGAACACGGTTCGACGAACCGGAGGAGACCACAGCCCACTCTGTTCGTAGTCAAAGTCGAACTGTGACTTATCATAGAACTTGTCCAACAATCTATCCGACACAGACTTAGGAACCACCTGAACTTGAACCACATGCGGAGAGGGTGATGTCTCAGTCTCAGAGGAAGCAGAAGACGAGTTAGCTACCATTTCAGAGACGGAACAAGAAAAATAAATGAAAAGACAATGAGAATCCAAAAGGGTGCATGGGGATACACAGAAAATAAAGGCCGAGAATGATGAAGTAATGTTGGAAAGGGAGTGGAAGTAAATACGAATGATGAAGAAGGTGGGTCTGGGATATTCGATAAGGACGTGTATGGCTGGCTGAATTCAATCATAGATAGGTCGTGAGCACCATGATATGAGATTCTTTACTGATTTCGGTTCCCTGAATTTTTTCAAACTACTTTAGTTTATATCTTAAAGAAGAGGCTCCACCTCCCACATATATATATATATATATATATAATCATGTTATATCAAATACGAAGCCATCCATCTTTAAACTATATATATATATATATATAAAAAATTATGTACATGCAGGTTGTCATTGGATTTTAATTGACAAAAATTGATGAACAAAACATGATAATGTTTGAATAGTATTTTTTGAAACTATGTTTGATAATAAAAGATATTTGGATAATTTTTTAAAATCAACTATAAATATGGAGAAATGGAAAATGTTGAAATGGTGAGAATTAATTCTCAAACGAAGGAAAAAAAAAATCTTTTGCCACATGGAATTTCAAAAGTTTAATGGAGTTTGGAAAAATTAGAAATGTTTGAATAAGATTTCACAAAATCATGGTTTTAAATCGGTTCAATGTCCTGTCCTTAATCCTTATAATGGTTCAATGGTCATAGTCAAACGTGATCAAATCATCAACTATAAATAAAATATCGTCGGACTGATCCATTTTTTAATACTGTGAATATAATACAATGTGTTGTTTTTAATTTGATGTGAGGACTGAGAAGAGACATCGCATGAAGTCAAGCGTGGTTTGGCCCTACCTGCTCATGTCATGTCTCATCTCATCTTGAAGCCTTTTCCGATACCAGTTGTAGACTTGTAGTATAGAGCTCAGTACCATGTGTTAGACAGACTTGAGGCTTTTCATTTTCCTTCTGGGACACCACTCTGTTTCCTGCATATAATATAAAAACAAATTATTCATTGATGTTCATTTATTAATCTGATTTGAGTGAATTGTTGATACATTTTTAAAGATATGGCTGGGATTTTGGTGTATTAAACTGGAATTTAATAAGCCACATGGAGCAGATGCTCAGACCAACACAACATGTCAATTCTTTTCCAGCTCCTCTCTGAAAATGTACTTGATCTTGACCATTGTTTCTTTGAGGTGGGGGAAAAAATAGATGAAATTAATTTGCGTTGTGACTTCTTTCATTCCCTCTTGTCTTTTTTGAAGTTTTAAATTTGGGGGTGAACAGTGTTGTGAAAGTGAAAGAAATGACAATTTTAAAAATAGTTTTCAATGTGAAAAAATTGCCAAAAAAAAAAATTCCTTTGCGGTTTATATTTGGTGTAATAATATTGAAACTGGAAGAGGAGGGAGATTAAGCATCATTTCACAAAGTGACTTGGTGGCCACAATAATGATGACATGCATCTGGTAGTCATAATTGGTGTTTGTGGATATGTAAATTAGGGTTTTACCAATCTTTCCTTTATAATTATTTTCAGTGGGGGGAAAAGAGAGAGAAATACAATGAACAAATTACTAAATAGAAAGTATATTTTACCAAAAGGGTAAAAGTAGGAAAAAGAGCAGAAAAAGGTGTTCAGAGTTTTGTGATTCTCAAACGGATTCATGTGAGTCAGTGTGTTGTGTGACTTGTGTCTGAGGAAATCACTTTATAAAGCCAGACAATAATGGTGAATGAATGTCATAATTCATAAAGTTTGTTATCAAATCCACTTCCAGTGTCCAAGTTCAACAAATAGCTTTAAAATTGAATGAAGAAATTAATTATTGATTAATGCTTCAATTTTTCTTCAAAAGTGCTTATTAATAATTGATGGTATGGTTTCAAAAATTTCAAATTTAAGTTTTTTTTTTAGTTTCCTAACATTTCTGAGCATTTGTTAAGGTGTCTAAAACCCACCTTCTACATTTCTTGCATTTGGAAAATGTACTTTCCATGTGTTACAAATACACTGTAAATCTAAATCTAAATCGTCATTCCTGCACAATTGTTCCATTTAAATATTCTAAATTTAATCTTTTAAAAAATTTTCCTTTCAATTTTCTTTTTCATAAATGAGACATTTTCTAGTTTTATATTTCATATAATTATTTTTAAATTTGCATATAAATATTTATTAATTATTAACTAAAAAATGGCCTGCGCGATATATAGGGTTAGCCAAAAATTCACTCACTTCTTTTCTTTAAAAAAAAAAAAATTTGTCTTTGGACATTACTTCATGTGAGTATGAATTTTTATGTGAAGCTCTCACTTAATAAAATGTGAGTCTCATATTCTATTCAATCTGTTGTCTATTTCTAGTAGGTCATAACACATTATAATTGTTTTAATTTTTTGCTTTGGCAAATTTCACCCATCTTATATGGCATAAATATGATTATGATAGTTAAATAAAAAAAATAGAATAGATCTTATAAATAACATGTTAACATGATATTATAAAAATATAATAAACTTTTTTATTAAATGTTAATAGTTATGATTAGATTTGCTTTATTTTTTAAAAAACAAAGTGAAAAAGATTATGAACATAAAAACACGTGGAAAAAAAAACAATGCATCTTGAAAAAAAAAAAAGGCCATCAATAAAATTTATTATCCGTATGACAAACATTTGATAAGTTATTTTAATAATAACTTGTTATTTTTTTATGAATGAGAGTTGGGTCTAATAAAATAATTTTAATAATAACATAGTGAATAAAAGTTCAAATTTCTATTAAAAAAATATTCACATTTAATATTTAACCGTATCTTGAATAGGATTGTCAATAATATAAAAGTATTTGTGAATAATAAAAAAAACTTGCTATTTGTTAACAATATTTTTTACTTTTATGCATACTAAAAATATAGACACCTTATTTTGTTTCTAGACTTATTCCTTGTGAAAAACATTAAAAGATAATTTAAAAATTAGATAAATATAAAACATTTGATTTTTTTTTTCCTAAACAAGACAGTAGATCGTGGGTCTCACACTACTATTGATTTCACTGTTTCATGAACGGTAAAAAATTTTAATATTTCGCCTTATAAAAGATAAGATAAGATTTGATTTCAATGATTTCAATGTCTATTAAAAGTTACATCCCTCTTGCAACGCAGAGGAATTGACTTATATGCATGTTTTTGCTGAAATTTATTTATTTTTTTTCCATGAAGAGATTTTTTTTTAATACCTGCTGCTTTATTCATTTTAAAATCTACTTTTTTTTGTGTTTTCAACAGGGAAAAGTTCATAGTTTCTTTGTTTTTGTTGTCTCTTAGGAAATTTATTTGTTGGACACTAAATTTAAATTTACTTTCCATCTTTATTTTCTTTTTGGAAACTAAAAATCATGTAATTCTATTTGTCAGGTTTTGTTTTTAATTTCTGTAATTTTTTTCAATGTTTTTAATCTTTATAAAAACTATAAATATTAAAAAAATTAAAATTATAGGGACTTGAAAAACAAATATCAACCTATCTTTTTGAAATTATAGATACAAAAAATATTTAAAAAATTATAAGAATTAAAAATAAAACTCAACAAAATTATAGAGATTGGCAATTGTATTTTTTTTAAAATATAATAGTCAATTCACCATAAAAAAAGTTTTAATTCAATTAAAACGTTGAAAGGTTTCCTATTTACCTAAATTAAATTTAAGGAATTTTATTTCTTATAGATCTTCACATTAACATAGATTACAAACTCATTAATTTTTGGTGCTTTTGCAAATATAATCCATGTTATGAAACTAAACCTAGCAAACAACTTAACATTTATTATATTTTATACTATAGCTGATTTATTATAGTTGACAATGATATACTTTTATATATTAATAATAAGCCCCTTGTAAATTTTAAATTTTTAATGATAAACTTCTTATATATTAATAATAAACTCTTTGTATATCAATGTAAATTGGCTATATTTTTAAATTTTTAAAAATTTGATTTATATTTTTGTGATACAAGATTTTTTCTAGCCAATGGGCCAAATTTATCATTATTTTTGTATAAACATGAATTACATACTTATTGGCAACGTCATGATTACAATTGCATGAAAAAATAAGTATAAGAAATTAACATTTGAACTATGTTTAGTCACATACATTATTTAAATTCTCTGTTCTAATCTAAGTTAAGAACATGCATGATATATGTAGTATTTTTATTTCTAGGAAAAATTGTTATATTTCTTTTCATATATCTAATGTCAAGTAATTCACTCTCAGTAAAATAAAAAAAATTAAACTAGTAAAATTTAATCTGTATAATTTATAAGAATTACAATAAAATAAATAATTTTAATTTTTAAAAATTTTAATAACAATATATAATTGTGGATTGTATACCTAGATTTTAAATTTGTTTTTGTTTTTATAGAGTTAATAATTGTTTTTACTCCTCAACTTTACTTAAAGATCTATAGGCACAAACTTAAAGAATGATCATTTTTATTCCTAAACAACCAAAATTCTTGCGTCAATACCCCTAATGTTAACACACTACTTCCGTTATGTGGGTCCCACTATCTGTATTTTTAATATCTTTTATTATGAAATCTAGGTTTCGCCTCTTCTCTTTCACCCTCCCCCCTTCCTTTTTCTATAATGTCTTTTTTGATATTACTAAACACACAGAACACAAAACACAGAAACAAGTATGATAAGCAGGATTAATTAAATCCCTCAAGTGTGGTTATCCTAACAAGGGTTTCAAAGAAATTTAAAAATAAGATCCCAAGAAAAACCCTTTTTGAAAGATGTCTAAGTTCAAACTATAGTTTAAAACAAATTACGCAAGATAACAAAAGCATAGAAACTCAAAATAGTCCTAAGAAATGCAATTGGAACGATCAGTGAATGGCACAGAGGGATCGCGTCCCTCTCTGTGCATTGTGCCATGGCACATCTTTCAATGCATTGTGGCATGCGCCTACTGCCATGATAGCAAGATAGCACTCTGAGATTAAATTTCGGAGCGAACCATTTTACCGTCTAATGTTGATTTGAGCGATTCAAGCACCCATACGTAGCTTTTAGAGCCACATAGCTATTGACATTGATTCCATACCCAAACACTAAACCAATTGAAAGTTAGACAACTAGACACAAAATGGTCCATTTTCTTTCCAAAATAACAAC